TAGCGAGAGAAGATAACAAGTAACAAACAAAGCGTTAAAGGTTTTACTGTTGCACTTTATGGGCATCTCTCGTTTTACTGTTGCTATGAACTCATGATGATGTTTCCTGTTTTGGGTTGAACATATAAGTTGATGGTAGAGGAGAAGGGTTTCTCATGTGGCATTTTCAAAATTTGGTCATGAAAACATAACAACCCCCTTTTGAATTTTAATTATTCTCATCAGTGTATAAATTCAATTTTTGGGGCTATAGACTTCCAAATGGGAAAAACAATATATCAATTTGAAGCTCAAGAAGTTTACTTTCTACGATTAAAATTTGAAGTCATTTGGAGAAGATTTCGATTTATCATAGTCTTCGAAAGACAGATAGATTTTCCTAAACTTCAATTCTGCCAATCATTTAGTAAATTCTGTTTCTGGGGTTACAGAGCTCCAAATTGAACAAACTTTATATCAATTTTAAATCCAATATGTCTACTTTCATGTACTAAAAGATGAGATTTTTCTAGATGGAAATCCATTCCTAGATTTACAAAAAAGGAACACTGTCTGAAATCGTGAAGGTATGGACAGATTCTGGCCTGATTTTGTAACGGTCATAACTCTTTCGTTCCTTAACCAAACATGGTATATTATATATTAAATTAAAGAACCTTAAGTATAGTTTCTTTTTTTAAGATTTCAGAATTTACTAGGCCGTGAAACATTCTCAGTTTAAGTTTGAGTTTGCTGCCCTGTTTTTCAGAAATTCGATTTTAAACAGTTAGCTTGCGACAGACATATCTTGAGTTATACAAATCCAATCGAGGCATATGATATGCCGTTGGAAAGCTCATGATGTCTAGTTTAACATAGTAAAAGTTCATAATCTATGGTGAGGAATTACAGTCCCAATTTTAGGAAATGTGATGGTTGTTTAGTGCTGCGCAAATTCTAAAGTTTGATTTTCATCATGTTAGTCTATGGGGGCTACATGATGAATAATTTTGAGTTTGTTTTTCACCGTTGGCTTCGTGGTATTTCCTAATAAAATATACGGGCCTATTTGATTTTATTCTATTTTTTTCTTAAAATTATTTTGTAGAATAGTTAATGAAATAAGTATTTTTTTGTACTTTTTTTTTAAAGTTAAAAGTTAAAATGTAAAACAGAAACAACTAAGATATTTTCTCTAAATTTGATTTTAAAAATAAAAAATAGATATAATTTTAGAATTATTTTTGCAAAACTTGCATTATCAACAGGTATTTTATTATTTTATTCTAAAAGTTAAAAATTTATTTTTGAAAATAATATTCAAACAAGGCATATTTTGTTTTTCCTCTAATACTTTAATTTTTTGTTTACTTGGATAGTATTATTTATCTTCCAAAATATTAGTCATTTAAAGTTTTTTGTACAAATATTTAAAAATTAGTTAATTCCTTTAATTTTAAGAAAATATAATTATATTTAATTACATTAACCTTTATTTCATTAATACTTTCTCTTATTAATTTCACTTAATTTAGATATCAAGAAATAAAGATAAAGTTTTAAAAAAAATTAATGTCTTTTTAACTTTCAAAAATGACAAATAAATTGAAATAAGTTTTTTTCCTCAAATGATTAATATTTTAAAACGCATGGAATATTCTTATAATTTTTTGTACTAAAAATAACGCATGGAATATTAAAGCCACTTTACCAAATCCTTAAAGGAAAAAAAAAACGTTTTATGCTTTGAAAAACTAAAATAAGTTAAAGCTTTTTTAAGTAATTAAAAGGATTATCAGCAAGGTTTGGATGAGTGGCTTTCAAAAAAATATAATTGTGGGAACTGGTATTTCTTTGTTTTTCTTGACTTGCTGAAAAGTGTGGCAATGGAGAAATGAGAAGATGCATAAGACTGATATCCCTCCTTTCAAGTCAAGAGAGGTTCTAATTCAGAAACTTGTTCATGATGTTGAAATGGCTGTGGGAAGAGGAAATGAGCATCAGCTGTACGCAGAAAAATGTATGTTCACATTTCTTGGCAATTTCCTTCTTTGAGATTTGTCAAGGTTAACACAGAAGGTGATGCTCGTGGAGCTCCTGGATAGCTGCTTGTGGTGGGGTTATGAGAAATTCTCAAGGGAGATGGCTGGGTGGATTTGCTTACAGACTTGGGATTTGTAGTTCTTTTAGAGCAGAGTTGTGGGGTGTGCTTCGTGGGCTGGAATTAGCTTGAAATTCTGGTCACCGTAATGTTATAATTGAAAGTGATTCAACTTGTGTTATCACTTTGCTCACCTCCCAGGGTGCAGCAGCTCGTGAGAGTCAGTTGATTTCTCGGATACGAGCATGGATTTAGAAAGATTGGTCGGTTAGTTTCAATCACATGTTCAGGGAAGGAAATGCTTGTGCGGATTGGATGACAAATTTTATCTTGGAGCATGATGAGGTTGTGCAATATCTTTTTTGTGAAGAACCACCACCTGGCATTAGGGGTGGCAATACAGGTATTGACCCGTGACCCGACCCGCCAAAAAGGCGTATCGTGTCAACCCACGGGTTGGAGCGGGTCGTGTACGAGTTGTGTAAATGTTACACGTTTTTTTTCGTGTCGTGTCACGGGTTAACCCGCGGGTTCACGTGGGGTTATTTTTGTAATTTTCAATGGGTGATATAAAATCTTTCTTTAGCCTAGGGTTATCCAAACACCCTCCGGTCTTCATGTCTGCCTCTCCCTCACGGTAGTCTTTGTCTCTCTCTCGCCCACACAACACCTTCGCCTGTCCGCCAGCCACTGCGTCGCCGCACCACCTCACGGTAGCCTTATTTGTTCGTCTCTATTCCCTGTTCGATGTTCAATTGTGCCATCTTAATCAGCCACCACCGTCTCATGTGCGCACCATCTGCTTGGGAGGTGTTAGATAAAATGCCACACTCCCACCAGCCCCTTCATTTTGCTTTCTTCCTTTTGTGTTTGGTGCATTGAAAGTTTACAACTTTGAATAAAAGTTTGTGTTTTGTTTTGAAATCCAGTTGGCTAAGTCATAAAGGTTTGATCTTTATTTATTTTTTTCTCATCAATTTGTTTTTGGGTTCTGGGTTTTGGGAAGCATGAAATTTCTTATTACTTCGAACAAAAATCAGCTATATATGTGATTAGTTTTTCAGCGAAATTAAACTTATTATAAGGCCATTCTTGTTTGATTCGTTGAGTTGTGGATAATTTTTGTACAATGACTTGGTTTTTTAGAAGATCATGGAGTTTAAGCTTGGTTTGAATAATCAGATTCACGTCGACCTTATTTCGCTTGATTTCTCTCATTGTCGATGAGAATATGTTCCGGATGACTAGTTTTTGGAATTGATTTGATTTTTTTTCCTTGTTCTTGAAGTTTTAAAGTAAGGACTTATTTGATTTTGAAATCCATGAGTATTTTGATATCCACTCAAATTAGGCAGGATTTGATTTTAGTTTTAGTTGTTTGAATTAACAACCTTATTTATTAATTTATTCATTCTACTAATTCTTATCAAGGATAAGAAAGTAAAAATTATTAAAGCAAAATGAATTCCACTCGGAAGCTATTGCAAAACTAAAATTGGATTTCAATCACAGTGAAAAGCTATTTTTTTTTAAAAACAAAAAAATTTATTAAAGCAAAATGAATCCCACTCGGAAGCTATTGCAAAACTAAAATTGGATTTCAATCACAGTGAAAAGCTATTTTTTTTTAAAAACAAAAAAATTTACAGTAAATTTTTTTTAATTTTTTTTTCAAATTTTGCCGTGTTATGTCGTGTCGACACGCAGCGGGTCGTGTCCGGATTCGTGTTTTTTGACCCGTCAATAAAACGTGTCGTGTACGGGTCAAGCGGTTTCGTGTTCGCGTGTTGTCTGTGTCGTGTCGTGTTGACCCGTATTGCCACCCGTACCTGGCATTCACGTTATTTATCTGACTGATCTTACTGGAGTAGGAAGACCGCGAGCTCGGGTGATCCAATAGCTTCTGTTTTTGTTTTGATGTTTTGTCTTTGTTTTGTTTGTTTTTGTTATTGGGACTCTGACCCTTTTGGCTATAAAAAAAAAAAAGGATTATCAAAATAATTTATTAAAAGAAATTAAAATTACGGTTTTGTTAAAATAATTCTAAATCATTTTAATGTATCAGTTCAATATTCTCAACAACTAAATTAAGAAAGTAATTATATTTTATATTTTTGAAGTATTGACTAATTTATTTTTCGTTTGATATCTTTATCAAATATTAGGAAGATAAGTTATGAGGATATAACAAAACAGGTTTAGGAAGCAAGTTTGCGGTGTCATCATTTTGCCGTCCCACCATTCGAATTTGCCGTCCCACCATTCGAATTTGCGGCTCTTTATAAAGTTAGCCGCACCCTCAGTCATTGCTTGCCAATTAAACAAAATGTGGTTTTAGAAAGCGACTAAAAATAACAAATAAAAGTTGTAACCGACAACAGAAACAAGTAAAAGTATTAATATCATCGTTCTTGCAAAAAGCGTCTATGTTGTAAGCGTAAAAATGATAAATCTAGTACTGTTGTGGTGATCCTCTGTATGAAATTCTCTGCACGCCACTCCCATACGTCAAAACAAAACGAAGCTATTAGTAAAAACAGATATACACCATGATTTAGGGTGCGAGTCTTACCATTCTCGATCTGCAGTTACTTTTACTGATTCCAAATTTCAATCTATTCTTAGTACTGTTTACCAGCTCAAACAATTATCGCAAGGCAACACTGAAGACGGGAATGATTGCATAATTGGATCCATTCAGATAAAAAAAAGCCGACCCAGTCAAGACCCACTCGGTAAGTGGATCCATTCAGATAACCAGGAAAAAATGTCAAATGACGGTATAATTATTACCAGAAATATTGAAAACTATGAAATGCAGTAACAAGTGCGGTAACGATTATTTATGGAAATATATAATTTTTCTAAAATTCTTTTCAATTTTTTTACTAATCATAAAATAAACTAATCAATTCACACAAATATAAAGACGAGGCACATTTAAAAAAATAAGAATAGTAAAAACTAAAAAAGACACTAAATATTATTGAGGTCTCCGCACGAAATTCTATTAGACCAGAAGTACTATTAATCTGGTGTGAACCAATAAATAACTTCTACCATAAAACTAAAGAAGTGTCCACGAAAAAAATAAGTAACAAGAAAACTCTAATCGAAGAGTGACAATCCCAAATCATCATCCTCCTCCTCTTCCTCAACCTTTTCTTCTTTCTTCTCTGCAACCGGGGCAGCCTCGCCAGCTGAAGCAGCACCTCCTGCAGGAGCAGCTGCTGCAGCTACACCGCCTCCAACAAATACTGCACCACCCACAACCACCTGAGCAAAACAATTAACCAAGGCAATATAGGATGATTAGTGATGAATCTTGTGGTTGAATAATATATATAAGCAAACGAGGAAGAAGGCCATCATCAAAACGTAAGTATTCAACAAGCATCTGCACACAACACATTCAATAACGAGCTTGAATAGAAAGTTTAGGAAAGCTAAAGTGCCTATGGACTATAGACATGCCTACTATGCTCTTCAAAGTGCCCACGGCCACCAAGTGGCAAGTTCTTCCCCACAGTCCAAACCAAAATAGAACCATGGAACCTCTCCTTGCCAAAGAACCCAAATTCACCATCAGCTTACACCCCCTTTAATCTCCATTCACACCCACTGTGAACACAGACAGCACACACCAAGCTTCAATGTAGTTATGTAGGCCAAACCCTCAAACGGTCAATCCACATACAGCCAAGTCAGACAAGCAATTCCAAAATTTCGCACAACAATAAGACCAAACCAACTCCCCCAAAATCCAAACATTCAAAACCAAACACAAGCACACAACACCCCCTGTTTTAGCACACCAGAAACAAAATCAGCTCCTAGTTGAAGATGAGATAATGGAGGTCTACAGGATTTCAGAAATTTTCATATCGAAGATCTGCCACCACATACATTATACTTATCAAGGATGCTCAAGTCATTCCAATGTTAAGTTGGATGCTTGAAAAGGAGACCGTCATTTCTTAAATTGTAGTGATAAGTATTTCATCATAAATGTGAAAAAAAGTTCTCCATTCCGGTTCAACTAAACCATTCTATTTTACCGAAAAGACTACAAATTAATTTTCCATTCTACATTTTTTTTATCAATACTAACATACCAAACATATGAATAGATCCATTATACTAATATGAATCCTATGGAATGGAAAATCCGATTCCACTCTCATAGTGTAATGACACAAAATCCGTTATTATCTCCTAGTCACACAAATACGCACGTGCACACACGAAGAATAAAAGAAAATAGAAGCCAGACTCGCAATGCATCAGCAGAACATAATTTAAGACACGAAATGCACCAACAGCCAACTATCTCAGATTCGGAAGTGAAAAGTAGCAGAACGAAAACATAAATAAGTGAAGATTCTAAAATCGCATTGCAGAAAAAACGCTATAGAAACTAAATAACTATGAGCAAAGAGATCCAAATAAATAAATAAATAAGATCGAGAATCCAGGAAATGTTAATTGAAAGTGTTGATACAAAGTGATGAGAAGAGTACCTGGAAAACGGCAGAGGAAGGGGAAACAGTAGAGAAAGAGGACTGAACAGCACCGGAGGAATCGGTGGCGAGAGCGGCCTTAACGAGCTTCCTTTGGATCTCGAAGGTCGACGGAGACGACTCTTCAATATCGCCGGAATGCTGTTTCGCCGTCCATTCGCCACCGGATTTGCGCAGCACGAATGTGAACACTCCCATCGCTCGCTCTCTCTCTCTCTCTCTCTCTCTCTCTACAAACTACACAGCCAAACAAAATCCTTTCAAAGTTTGAACACGCCTGTATAGAAACCCTAATGCTCGTATATAAATAAAGGTGAAAAGTCTATTTAGTCCTACTTATTATTCTTATTCCACTGCTAACCTTGTGCTACGTCGTCGCAAATCGCAAACACTGTGATTTGCTTTTTGGAATATTAGGTGACTGTTTGAATTTTTTTTTTAAGCCAAAAATTACTTATAAGCAGAAGTCAGGCCAAACAAGTTTTATGAAAAGTTCTTATATTAAAAAGCTCTTTTTTATGGGTTTTATTAATCTCCTTCCACATAAGATAATTATCTTATGTGGTAGAGAGAAAATGAGTGGGTCCCACCATTACAAGAAAAAAGAAAAAGAAGAAAAAAGTGAGGTGCGAAAATTGAAGTGAGAGAAAATGAGATAAGTTACCTCATGTAAAAAGAGAGTAATATTTTCCTTTTTTTATAACAAAGAAAAAGATATTATGAAAAAAGCTCTGGGGAGGAGCTTTTTTAAAAGCTCTTATAGCTTATTTTGCAAAAAGAGGGGTCTTTCGAACGTTGAGGTCTGAGTTCTTCGTGGTGTTTGCAGCGCTGTCCATCGTCGTCACTCTCTCTTCCTCTATTATTCAGATCTCTCTCGGCTTCAATCTATTCTCGAAGGTTCTTTCTTTCTCACACTCTCTTCCTTTACCAATTTTTACCTTCACCCACTTTGATTAGTTCACGAGATGGTGAATTCTAAGGGCATGTTTGGTGTGATGTATAAGGTCTGATAGTATAAGCTTATATTATACGTTATGACATTTTCAGTTGTTTAGTGTGACCATCGTATAGTATAAGCTTGTACAGCAGGACCAAAATGATGTATAACTTAATCCGGCCTAGGAGTGGTGGATTAGGCCTGATAAGGGGTTGATGCATTAATATTGCTTACAAGTACAATTCCCAAGAACTAATATATCATTTCAACATTTATATATTAAAATAAAAAAATTTAAGAGTAAATACCCATTTTGGTCCTCAGGAAATTTCATGACGCCCGCTTTAGTCCCTAGCAAATAAAAAGGCACATCGTGGTCCTTAAGAAATTCAAAATGAACCCATTTTAGTCCTTTTAGGGACTAATATGGGTCTTTTTTGAATTTGTGAGGGACCACGATTTCAACTAAATGAATCCATTTTGAATTTCTTAGGAACCACAATGAGCCTTTTTATTTGCTAGGGACTAAAGTGGGCATCGTGAAATTTGCTGGGGACCAAAAAGGGTATTTACTCTTTTTTTAATATATTAATTTTTAAAATATTGGAGGAAATTATCTTATACAATGTCATACCAAACGCTGGATAGTATTAAAATTTAATCAGGTCTTATACAATCAGGTCTTATACTATCAGATCTTATCCTATACTATGCACCAAACATGCCCTAAGATTCAATGAATTGGAAACTGTTTGGGGGAACTGTTTGTAGGTCTCTGATAAAGCAATGTCAGGATACAAAAATCACAAGTTTATTGTTGGGTTCTAATCTGTACTTGCGTTGATTATTGTTACCACTACGTTGCACCGACACTCTGGACATGAAATATGATACTTTGACACGTTAATTTTAAAAAGTGTTAAATTTTAATACGTTAGGACACGTTTTGATATTAAAAAATATTTTTAATTTAGGACACGTATTTTTAATTATTGAATATTTAATATTCAATAATTTAACAAAAAAATTAAATTAAATTTATAATACTCATCAATTTTACAAAAAAACATAAGATATTTTAAATATTTATATTAAACTTAATAAAATGGTAATCGTAATCAAATGAATCTAATAGTTGGAACTCAAAAATCAACACAACTCAATTTTTGAATCTTTTTTTGAGTATTTGTAACGAGTATTGGAATGTCGAAGTGTCAAAATGTCGGTGAGTGTCAAACACGTCACGTCAAAATTTTTGAAATACCAATACTTCATAGGTTAGTACAATGCTACAACTTAATTTTAAGAAAGAATCAAAAGGAAAAATGTTAACTTGAGTTTAAAATGTCTAGTAGAATTTTTATCCATTACACAATTTCTTAACTTTAACCTTGTGCTGCTACGTCGTCGTAAATTCAAATTTCAAAATAAAAAAATGTTAGAACCCACGCGGAAGCCCGGCCCATTTTTTATAATTGATTATTATTATTTTAATTAAATTTTATTATTTCTTTTTCTTCCCTTTTTTATTATTAAATTATAATTTTAACATTTTTTTTTCAGCATGTTTTTTCAAATTATTTATCTAAATATTATGACATGAAAACATTTTTTTTGTAATATGTCACATTTTTTACTTGGAATAAATGTGATGTTGATCTTTATGTTGATGTCACATTTTTTACTTCCGTTAATTTCATCTACAAAACCAGTTTGCCACGTGATTAAATGCTCGGTATAATTTATTTTTCAACTCAACTTATTTTCTCACTCCTGTGTACTCGTTATATATAAATTATATTAAATTGATGTTATTATTTTATCATTTAATTCAAAATTAACATTAAATTAGTTAATTCAAATAATAATTAACAAAGAAAAATTATTTATCAAATTATTATTATTAATAATAAATATATTATTTTTTAATTTTTAAGATTTTCAAAAAATTGTATCCAAATATTAATTATTTATAATTTTAAATATCATTTGGCTAAAAGAATTTATATAAATTTCCAATTTAATGTTAATTTGATTATCAAAATAATTATGTATATATAAGTATACTTTTTTCGAAAAATCAGGGGGGGGGGGGGAATTATTAATCATCAAATTATCATTCTTAACTATAAATTTGACATTTTTTATTTTGCAGAAATTTCAGAAAATCACCCAATAATTGAAAATTATTGATATTTTTAATTAAAAATAATAATTTAGTTTCTAATTTAATGTAAAAATAATAACATTAATTCTAATTTAGTTAATTTATTAGATTAATTATTTATATTTGAGCACTTTTTTGGCTAATTGAAAAATAATCATAAAATTATTATTAATGACAGTAAATTTAATCTTTTTGAATGTACAGTAATTTTAAAATATCACTATATAAATAAAAATTGTTTATCTAATTATTTATTATTAGACTTAATTTAATGAAATTTTCAAATTGAATGACAAAATATTAATATGTGTTAGGATCAATCTTCCGTGCAATATATCATGTTCTTCCAATCCATAAAATAAAAATAAAAATATCATGTTCTTCCAAATTTCCATATATAATTCATAAAAGTTATATAAAAAAAAGTACCTGGAGTTTTGCACCAAACTTGGTTTTTTTTTTTTTTTGCTAGTCACCGGACACTAGTGTACATCTTGCCCTTTTAAGTAATCATGCATTCTTTCGGACAACCAAACGTAAGCCATGATACCCTTGATACCACCACTAACCAGTGACCCCTTAATTAGTGCGTGCCAATTAGGTCACAATGTTATTTTAACAAAAAAATAGAACATGTTACCAACAACTATTGGTTCAAGTGGTAAAGATGTTATTTCCCTTAATTAGAGATTGAGTTAAAGTTTTAGGAACGGAGAAAACGACCTTGAAAGAGCCATTCCTAATAATGGATCCGACAATACTCGAATTGAACTAGTCAGGTAATCAACCACGATGGATATATCTAAAAATAGAATGCGTTTTTTTATAGCAGCCATTAGCCCTATTGACTATTGTTCTCAATCAAAAACAAAGAGGCTGACTAGCTTAACTATCATTTGTCTTACAAGATGCACTCAAATTTTACCTATCTTAAACATGGCAAGAGGGGATAGAATAGAATAAATAAGGCTCAGCAATGACATGCTATTTTTCTTTTACACCCCTGGACTAGTTGCAATTTAGAACAAATAGTGCACTTCCATGAATTTCCACTTCAATGGATAATGTCCCCTGCGTTATTACTAAGTCCTTTCCACTCCACACTTCAGTGCTCTTACAAGAACTGAAGTCTCTGCCAGGAAGAACCTTAGCCAGGTCTGCTGTTTGTGCAGATATCACCGTCTTATTCTCACTTAGATTGAAGAAAGCAACATAGATTTCTCCTACATAGAGATATAACACTAGGGGTTAGAAAATAATAACTTCAATGAATTCTTTGTTGTGGCATGCTAGTTAGTTCATCATCAATGTCAAGGACCAACAGCCGCAAATATATACAAATGTAGTTTTAAGCTGAATTTGCTTGCATTCTTAGGAAAGATGTGTCCTCTGATTGTGTTTTTCAGAAAAAAAGTGGCCATTATACAATTTATATTTTATTTAAGTGCTCAAATGCTTATTGTGATCAGTCAATTTCCGTTTTATTGTTTTGATGAAGTAGCAAAAAAAACAAGAAAACTCTCAAGATTTATCTGTAGCGTGTGTTAGAAACAGACCATTTCTTCCCGTTGCAATCCATGAGCGAAAACCACCAGAATTTATAGTATCTGCATAAATGACCAAGATGCATTATGAATAATAAATGAAAGGAAAAAACAAGATAACCTCAACAAAGTTGCAGGAATCATAATCATTCTAGAAAATGGTACATATTTACAAAGTTTCACCTTTGACAGACTCCACTGTTGCACATAAGCCAGAATAACTATTTACCAAGGTCCCATTAGAGTTCAACTCCCACATCTGTCAAAGACTGCATAGGTCAACTTCCAATAGAGTACACAAATATCAAGAAAATGCGAATCTAAAGGTTATTTCATGCAATAATTTGGCCAAGGTATATTATGTCTAGATATGGATAAAAAAAGCAGTATGCACAGACAAGATTATTGTTAAAATATATCCACCCCAGACAATAACTGCAAAAGTTACACATTGGCTACTGTCACTCTGTTAAGAACCTTGGGATACACCACCCCAAAAGCTAGCTCAAAGGGTGGGAGTGTCCAAGACCTTATAAACTCCACATTAGTTGCACATACAACCAATGTGGGACTATATATCTCAACACGCCCCCTCACACGAGAGCCCATTGGGCTTGAAGAGTGGACATGCAACAGGCTCAGCCTACCTGTGCTAAGAAACGCCACAAGAGAAAGTGGAGGGCGGCGGCGAGGCTCTGATACCATGTAAAGAACCAATTCAACCCAAAAGCTTAAGCTATTGGGTGAGGTTACACTAATGGTTTTATATATCTCAACACGCCCCCTCACACGAGAGCTCACTGGGCTTGAAGGGTGGACAATGCACAGGCCCACCTACCTGTGCGAACAAAGAAATTCCGAAAGTGGGGGGCGGCGAGGATCGAACCCGGGACACGACAGTTGAAATTTTGAATCAGGTATTCCTAAACTGCAAAAAAAAGTATTCACTCTTACAGTTGAAATATGGACTACAACATACCTGATTTGAATCCCATCTGCAGGGAGAAAATGTACCTCTCTTGAACTCTTTAGAAGTAAGCTTTCGTTTTGGTGAAGCATCTAAGCAAAATTTTATTCTGTTGGTTGCAACTAAATGATGTTTCCCTCGATGATCCTCTTGGTACATACTGTCTTCATATCTGTGTATCAGTGTCAATATACCAATTTCTGTTGTTAACATAAATTCTCAAATCGAAGTTAGGCAAATGGAAGAGAGAAAAATAAAACATGATTACAATGTGAAGCGAAGTTCTCTCTTGTGCACACAAAAGGGGGCCAGATGCTTGTTTCCTGAACTCCTTTTCCAACAGATTCTTTCAAGATATTGGTCAAGACTTTCATTAGTCCAACCACTTGCCTTTGACTCACTGCAGCTAGTGAGGCCTAATGAATGTGTATATGATGTTTTCATTTTTTTGTTGCTTCTTCTCATTTGCCCTCCAAGATCCTGATCTTCACTCCTCAGGCTTGTGATATAAGGAAACTGCCAATGCAGCAAAAGATATATGATGTTAATTTGATAAACAAATTACCCCCCTATTCCCCCAAAAAAGCTAGACTGCTCACATGCCTCCATGTTATTCGAGCTAAAAGAATTAATTTCCAAAAGGGTAGGATTTGTGATAAGATCATATGTATTAGGATCAATCTTCCGTACATCCCCTCCATACATAAGGGGAGACTTCGCCATAGACCACAGAGTCATCTGTAGGATAAGAATACATTCACTCAGTGTCTATTGATAATGCATGTACACAAATTAAAATTAACAAATGAATATATGGGAAAGCAACTCGGTTGTGCTTTTATGAATACCTGTGTTTTCTTCTCTTCTAGATTGAGGTTACTATACCTGTGTGGACCTTCATTTGAGCCTTTAAGAAAAAGAAAAAAGAAGAAGAGGTGAAACAGCAATGTCATGATCCATATTCCCATCAGTCTAAATTCAAACAGCTTGTAGCAATTTTCTATGATATGAGAATGTAAAGGTCTTTTCAGTTTTCTAATCAAACAGTCTCAGTGCACCAGCAATGTCCTCGTGTTAATAAAATAATATATTTGCAGAGAGTGCTTCACAATGCCAGAAGATTCTGGTTTCACACAAAAAAATTATTTATATAAAATAATAAAAATGGGTAGATGATAGAATAAAGAAAAATGAATAATGAATATATGAAGTAATAGGGTCTATAAATACATTGCTGATTACCAACCAATTAAAAGTATGAGAGTCATGATATTCATACAGGATAGAGAAAAAGTAGTGGCACAGCCTTATTACCAGGATCAGTTAGCCACCCAAATGGTAGCATGTCCAAATCAGGCCAGGAGTTCCCCATTAAACCCTTTGCTCCTATCATATTAGCAGCTGAAAAATCCCTGATTCAGAATTCAATCAACTAAATTTATATGATACGGTGATGGAATAACAGATCACAAATGGAGAAGCAGCATAATTGGTAGGTAATCTGAAGACTGATATCTGATACAATATTTTGAAATAAATACAACAATTTAACCACCTTGTTACATCAAAATGAGCTTTGACATCTCCCCATGTATCCCAGTCATCTCCTGTTATACGATACAAGTTGACTAGTCCAATGACATCCTTGGCCATGGCCGGTGTCACACTGGTACCAGGAGACAAAGAATATACAATGGGGCGATCAAGCTCCCTGAGAACCTGTATTGACATGTAATATTGTAAGTTTGCCAATATATTTACCATACTATTACAGATATCGGTTTTCATTTAAATCTGCAGAATACCTCTGATACATAGGTTATTTCATTTAAATCCAAGTCATCGCCAAATACGCAATCATGTTTCACTGCAAGGGAGGAAGAAAATTTATCAAAATTACAGCTAAAGAAAGGCAGAACTGCTTAGTATAGTTCAGAGTCCATTGAATACTTTCTGTTCCATTTTTACTTACACATAACCAGTTAATTAAAACATGAATAAAAAATCAATCTATGCTGTTGTGATTTACTCATTTCTAGGCGTTTGGGATGGATGGAAATATATTTTGGAGTTGACTACATTTATGTGTGGCTCAAAGAAGTGGGCTGTGTGGATTTTATCTTTAGTGGAAATAGAAGTTCTGATGATATGATATGAAAACAGCACTGAAGTTTATAAGATCAGTAAAATACCTACTCTATCTAATGAAGAATAAACAATAGTCTGGACAAAACAAACAGTACAAATAATGTACCAAAAAAAAGTACAAATGCTTCACTTTTCCAAACGTCTTTGAAGCTGATGCAATAAGTTGTTCAAAATCATCATGACTATTATCAATGACATGAATATGTTGTGATAGTTCATTATAAACAGACTATAAATTAGTAGTCCAAGTACCAAAATCAACACTCCATCCAGCATACTGCTCATAAAGGGACCTCAAGAAAGCTTTCCCAGCTCCCAACGTTGTATTTACACTCATGAATCCATGAGGCATCCATGCACAAGCCCTTTCTGGGATTGCTATATCTTTTGCATGCCACACTCGACCAGATTCATGATAAGCACCTCCCTAAGAAATCGAAAGAGTAGGAAATCAAAAGGTCAACAAAAAACTTTGGATTAAGGTAAAACAATATCCTCATATCTTTACTGTAATGCTTTATTCTTGGGGAAAAAAAAATGTATTACACAAAGCATTCATTACAAACATTTTTTTTTCCTTACAAAAAAGCAAAAATATATATATATATATATATATATAATCAAGTTATAGCAGAAATACAAAGCAATACCGTCGATGTATCTAGGATAGGGGTGTTTGCATTGACAGCTTGTGTGCTTATCCCTCTCATAACATGAATCCCAAACTTTAAACCCATGCTATGTACTTTACTAGCCACTTCACCGAACCCTTTCCCATCTTTGGACGAAGGCCACCTTCCTGGGTCAGGAATCATCCTACCCCATTCATCAATCACGTCGAATCCAAGTGAATCATGATAAGCACCCTTGACTTTCCTCCTATACCAGAGGTAATCCACCACAACATACTACAAGGGTTTGAAGGAAATATATCTAATGAAAGTACTAATAATGAATTCAAACTCATCCATAAGCTAGGGTTCCTCGGAGAACATATACCTCATATCCATGATCATGTAGGCGCTGAGAAACTATTTCAGCATTCTGTAAGAATTCTTCTTCAGAAATTGTCCAGCAAAAGGAATCATAGGAATTCCAACCTCTTGGTGGGATGCTAGCTTGCTGAAGGTCACTCTCAGATATAATTGTAGATGACACACTGAAATAACACACTCAGATATATTACACTAGAGTTATCTCAAGTTATTTTTCTAATATCTCACAAATAAAGACAGAACAAGGTCCCAGAGATTAAGGCACCCTGAGGTTACACTAAGAAATGATTGAAGAAATTAGAATTCAACTTAATGCAGCTACCCTTAGTCCTTTCTGCAATAAGTTTGTACAAAATTGAAGCTTGCTTATAAGATTTCAAATTTATTGATAATCCACACACAAGGAGTTCCAACTAAATGATAGCAAGAGGAAAAGAACAAAGGGGAGTCCATGTTAACATACCTATGAAAACAGAGACAAAGGAGAATGCATAGAGGGATGAAGAATGAGGATAAACACTCCATGATTGCTTTTGCTGGTGCGGCTGTTCTACCAACAACTACAAGTCCAACTAAGTTAAATACTAATAAATCTTTTAGTTTATTAATTAATGGGATTATATTTTCTTATGTAACATAAGATAAGATATCTCATGTTACACTCACAAACTTAGGTGGGTCCCATTGCATAGAGAAAAAGAATTTGAAGTGGGTCCCACGTCTTTTTGAGTGTGTAGGAGAGACTTATTGTCTCCTATCACATGAGACTAATATTTCCCTTAATTATAATACAATTGAATTGAAAAAATAGTTATTTTATTTTAAAAAGAGAGAGAAAGTAAAGACTTGTTGTGTTTTGTTATGTTTATCGACAAAATAGTGATGTATATTGTATAATATAACCCTTTACTTACTTAAACAAGGTTAACTACATAATTCTTCAGGTCGCGACATAGTTAAAGATGCTTTTGTTTGCTTACGCTTACGCAGTCCCGATTCGGAAGGAAGCACTTCAATCATTTGAATTTTCTTGGAAGATGGACCAAACCAAAACGGCAAAAGGAAACTTGTATTAGTCGCGAGTGGGTGAGTCGGCATACCCTCGAGTTTAAGGATATTTTTTCTCTTTCTCCTCTGGCATTATGGATAATGAAGGGGTTGCCGAGCGTGAGACTTATAAAAGACCAAACAATTATAATAGTTGATGCGAATGTTGAAATGAGGTTGGTTTCACACGTGTGGTCTTGTTTCATTCGCAACCTCGTTGAGCGAACTTCATATTTGACACATCTTCTAAGGTATATGTCAACAGAAATGAGGCGGCAGATTCATCTGCCAAAATTCCTAGTTTTTCACGTGATATTAGAATCTGATAAATTTTTAGTAGCATTTAATATTAATCTTTACTAGAAATTAATGACTCACTGCATTTAACATTTTTTTTACCTTAATGTCATATTAATCTGTCATTCCTAAATTTAATGGGTGAAATATATGTTACAATAGTTGTAACTAACAATTTAGTCACTAGAATTACAAAGGAATATAAAACTGTGTTTTGGTGTCCTCTGCTTTTTGTATTTTTTCCTCCCCTCCGTTTCATCTTTGTTTTCATTTTCTCTCTTTCAGCGTTGTTCATCACCAAATAATTCTCTTTTCGGCTTATCTCTAGTATTCCTGTTTCCAACCAATGTCTCTCGAACATAACGCTACCATTATATTCAAAACCCTCCAATTTACTGGACCAACAGAGGTAGTTATCCAGCAGGCCCTGCAATTTACTGCACCGTTTTTCTTCTCTAATCGACTGAATATGATTCACTTTTCTCGTGACATGACATATTTCATAATATTGGAAAGCCTCTAAGTCGCCCTCTCGCACATTTTACAGGTAAGGGCTTGTTCATAATTCATCGTTAAAACCACAAGAAACCTAGCAACATGTATATTCATTATTGATTTGCACATTTTTGTTGGTACAAAAAATATCAATTTCTTTCCAGGATGAAGAGAAGTGGGAGCCGGGAATTGTTACATGTTAGTAGATGAAAAGACAAAAACCACCTGGTGTCACGGCAAAGAGAATACTCAGAATAGGAAATATGTTCATTAAAATGATAACCAACTAAAAGTCGAGTCTCATTTCCCGCAAGCTATTATCTCTGCTCCAAATTTTTCTATTTACTGTCACTCCCACCTCAAAGCGTGCATTAACCACAGCCCATGGGGATAGATAGAACTCATAACTAAGACGGCATATTTCTTGGAAGTGCATGTTGAGTAAAATCCAAGTGTAACGTATCAATAAAATTGCTGTGATCAGGCTCTACACATGCAAGGAGTCAGAGGATTCTCCCAGAGGTCATAGTTAGGGAAAGTCTCTTCCGGCAATCCCGTCCGCGTCTGGTGAGTGACAACGACATCTTCTACAAAAGTAGCCCAACCCATGTATGGATCCCCAAAAGACTTGGACATTAGTCCTTTGTCAGGCTTAATTGATTTTAGACGGTGACCCATGTATCTACGGGCCCCAATGATCAACTTAGCAAAGTTACCTCCATGGGTCATCACGAATACATCTGACTTCAAGCAGACCAAGAAGTCGAGAGCTGCAAGGCTTGTCACATGCTTTCTGAAACCATCTAACTCCTCTTTAGTTGCCAACTCCTCCTTTGTAACCTGTTACCAAAAGTGGAAAAGATTAATCACATTGTAAAAGAATCACAATACAGAGGAATAGATTTAATTAATATATTTAACTCAGTTATAAAGGATATATATATATATATATATATATATATATATATATATATATATATATAAAGACAGACAGAGAGAACATTGCATCATAGCTTAAAAGTCGCAACGGATCACAATCCCATGTCATGACATGACCAGATTCACCACATAACGAATGGGTGTGATTTTCATGAAAAACAAAACATAAAAAAACAAAGCTTCAAGATCTGTTTTTAGAACTTTTAGAACTTCAAGGCAGCACCAATACCATGCTCATTTATTTTATAGTTCACGTGGTAGTGACCAGGTCTTACCAGATTAGGGAACATATTCCTCAGTGGAGCCATACGGTTCTGTCCACCATACACTTGTCCAGAAGCTACATAAATTTGAGTTTCCTTAGGATAGCCCATAGCCCGAAGAATAACAGCCACTTCTCCAGGCTCTAGAGGACAACGTCCTTCCTTTCGCTTCTGCAGAGCCAACTGCCACAGGTGGGAACCATTCTGCATTTTCAACAAAGTAGTGACTAAAATGCTCCAATAGAAGTATCTTAGTGCTAGTTTTGATCTAAAATAAAAAAATAGTAGTATGCCACCTTATACCGTCGAGGCCACTCCTTTTTTCTGTACTCTGCCATTTTAGCTTTCTCCTCTCTTGTCCCCACAAAATCACAGAATGATAGGCCCACCATTCCTTTCTCAAACCTAAGATGCAGAGCCCTGTTTAGTGTTTACAGTGAAACTGTTAACTCACTGACACTGGAAAAATGCACTCAAATTCAGCTACAGGATGATCTTAATCAGAAATGTCACATACATATAAGGATTTGAACTCCCTGTTCTGTTTCTCATCCTTGATGCTAGTAAATCAGCCATCTGATCTATATCAGGAAGAAATTTCAGAGCATGATAATTCACCCTACATCTCAACTTGTTGATTTCTGCAGGAACATTGTCATATCTGAAACAAAAAGCGAGACATCAAGACAACATCAACTGCATATACAAAAGTGGCATCTAGCATATAAGTCATCCTTGGCCTACCCCAGCCTATCAACAAAAGGTTTCAGGGCCATAATCTTCTTCTCCTTGACTCGGGGCAGAACATTGTCGATGTAAAATTGTGCAGGTGCATATTTTGGAATGTTTTTTACTGTCCGTCTGAAAGACAACACATTTTTGCCTTGTTAGTCAAGCTGATTGCAACCAACCAGAAAGGCATCAATATTGAGCAATAATCATCAGAAAGATCTAGGTTTACATCTTTGGTAACAATTTGCTAAAACTAAAGAGTTATGTAAGAAGTTAGATGAAGTATAAAAGACAAAGATGCTATATAGACAGGACATTCAGTTAATGTCTTCTCTGTTGATACACAATTTAGGATATGCTAAGTGGACAAGTAATTCAAATTCGTAGTTATCATAATATTTAGTCACACGACCCAGCACTTCAACCAAAACCTTACATCAGTAAGTCTACAGATGAAACAGATAACTAACATAAAATTGGCTCTCAACATATTTATCCATCTCTTAAGAAAAAGATATATTTATCCATCTGTTACAGCCATAGATAGCAACTTGGGAATTAAGAGTTCGCCAGACTATAATCAAAAGCACATGAATCTAACTTCAAATTCATAGTTATCATGCTATTCGGTCACAAGAGCCAGCAACCAAACTTCACATCAATCAGTCCACGGATGAACCAGAAAACCAACTTGATGCTGACTCTGGACACATTAATCCACCTCTAACTAAAAAAAACAAAGGCATATATTTATCCATCTCTTATAGAAACCATACTTATTAATCTCGGATAGCGGCGCGTAACAGCTGACCCTCCAAACTGCTATAGCGCTATAGCGGGTAGCGCTACAACGCTACCGTGCAAAGTGTACCTAAGTGATACACTAAATCATACTCCACAAATATAAAACTTAAAATATGAAAATGTGACATAAAAAACAAATTTGAAGGATTTTAAACTCAAAACATAAATGATTTCAAACATTAAAATTCAAATCATAAGCAAATTGAAGGAATTAAAGTATCAAATAATGTAATACAACAAAATAAAGTGGTAAAATTAGTCAAAATTCAAACTGCCACTTAAGTGAAATGTCAAAATCAAAGAACTTAAGGAACTAATCATAATTGAAATCATGAACATCCAAATCTTCATCTTCAATTTCACTTGTATCTAAGTTGTAAATCTCTTCCTTTATGATGATAACACTTTCGTAGAAACTACTGTAGTAGCGCAATAGCGCCGCGAATCAGCCGCAATAACGGCCGCTACATCCGCTACACTTTGCCTGACCGTCACGGCGCTGTTTGTGGCGGCCAGCCGCTGCACCGCAACGCAACTCCGCTATAGCGCGCTAAAGCGGGGCTATTCACAAGTATGATAGAAACATGGAATTCATTTTTCAACAGACTCGAATAAAAAACACAGGAATCTATCAAACCTTATGCTAGAAAATAGCTCAGATTTATCAGTAAACCATTCCGGGATATCACGGACAATACGGACATCATACTTCAAGTAGTCAATGAAGTGATCCACATCAAAAATGTCTTCAAATTTCCTGCAATCATGAAATGCATCATCATGATCAGCAAGGAGGACCGTCATTGAAAACTTCCAGATAAGACAAAAAATTACCAGTGAGAAAGGGGGAAAGTACAACTAGCAGAGTGATAAAAGAATTGGCCTGAGTGATTAGAAATTCAAAAACTATGAATTTTATGGGTAAAATAAATATGATATAGATGATGTGATATTTCATGCACATCCTCAGCAAAAATAGTGATATAAATTAAACTTATCAAAACAACATGAAAAAAAATTTGGACAAGGGATCTCACGTTTGGTCTTTCCAAATCTGGTCCTGCTTCAATACGGGCAGAATAAGAGTGGCATTCATTATTTTAGCCACAGCCACTGCATTGCATATCTGCATTTTGAAATATGGGCCAAAGTAAATCATTCGCAGTTCTACAAAACTTTCCTTGGATTGTCATATCATATATCCCATTTCAATGTACAGGACGACAAAATCAGCATCATGGATCAAACACAACATTGAACTACCATTAAAACTGTTAGAATATTAGATATGATATGATTAGATTTGATTAGATATGATTGGATTCTGTCTTATCCGTAAATAGTCTGACTGTATTAGGATTAGGTTTGGATTAGGTTTGGGCCTTACACTTAAGCCCATTAGGGTCTCTATATATTGTAACTCCTTGACACAGATCAATACACAACATATTATTCTTCTATTATTTTATATTCAAGTTGGTATCAGAGCTCTTTCGTTCTGGGAACCCTCGCTTCCGCTTAGAAACCTTGTTTTTTTGCTTTAAAACCTAAACCCACTGCTTAGGAGTCCTCTTTCTTGCCGTGCGTCCTTCCGGCAAGCCTTCTAGGGCTGTAAACAGCCTCTGAGTGATTTTTCCAAACGTGTCAGCACCTCCGACGGCCACCGGAACCACCGCCCGCCGTCAGAATCACTGTTCAGGCAACCGGAGACTTTTTCCGGCGACTTTTCCGACCAAACTTCACGCGATCAGGACCCTCTCTTCCCGGCGACCAGGTCTGTGGTGGTCCGGTCAGCAACGCATCTCCCACGCGCCGTCACGCGCCACCTGTCTTCTCTGCGCGTGGGCTTCACGCGCCACCTTCTGCCGGCGCGTGAGCACTATTCCGGCGGCTTTTTCCAGCCGGTCTTGAACAGAGAAGCTCGCCTTCTCCTCCCCTTTCTGGATCTGTGATTGTTTCTCTGTGGGTCTGACCTTAGACGCGTGGTTCTTCTTGATTGGATATCGTTTGCCTTCGTTTACGGCTTTTATATTTTATCTTTAAATGGCAGCAGCATCTCCTGATCTCTCGGAGGTTAACTCTCCTTCTATTGTTGCAAATATAGCTCAGTCAGACAATGCATCATTTGGTTCAGGTTCGGACTATGCTGCACTCCAAACCCCTCTCAGGAAGGCTTCTCCTCAGTCTCAGCCTTATACTGGTAATCCTGTTGCTTGTGTTTCTCATTCTACATCACTTGGCACTTGGATATTTGACTCCGGTGCTACCGATCATCTCTGTGGTAATAAGGAACTCTTTACATCTCTTACTTATTCTGATCATTTACCGTTTTTTACCCTTGCGGATGGAACCAAAGCCCCAGTTCGTGGGATTGGACAAGCTCGTCCGACCTCTACCTTGGCCCTGACATCTGTCTATTACATTCCTGGCATCCCTTATAACTTAATTTCTATTAGTAAGTTGATCCACTCCCTCACTTGCACCATTACTTTCTCTAACCATTCTGTTTCTGTGCAGGATCCGGGTACGGGGAAAATGATTGGAGTGGGTCGTGAGTCACGAGGGCTTTATTATCTGGATGTGCCTCGTCCTTCAGTAGTATGCTCTCTCACAGAATCTCCACAACTTATCCACAGTCGCCTTGGTCATCCAAGTCTTTCAAAGTTGCAGAAAATGGTTCCTCTTTTGTCCGGTCTTCAGTCTTTAGATTGTGTGTCATGTCAACAAGGGAAGCATACACGCTCCTCTTTTGCCAGTCGAGTCAATAAACGAGCTGATGCCCCTTTCTCTCTTGTTCATTCAGATATCTGGGGTCCAAGTCGTACCTTGTCTGTCTTAGGTTTTCGGTATTTCGTTACCTTTATTGATGATTTTTCCCGTTGCACTTGGACCTATTTAATGAAAAATCGTTCCGAGCTATTTTCCATTTATAAAAAGTTTTCTACTGAGATCCATACTCAATTTGGTGTTTCTATTCGTATTCTACGTAGTGATAATGCTAAGGAATATGTTTCTATTGATTTTTCTAATTTCTTGGCCACACAAGGTACTTTACATCAAACTACTTGTCCTCACACTCCACAACAAAATGGGGTGGCTGAACGTAAAAACAGACATCTCATTGAAACTGCCCGTACCCTTCTTATTCATATGCAGGTTCCCCTTCACTTCTGGGCAGATGCTGTACTCATCTCTTGTTTTCTCATCAATCGCATGCCTTCATCTGTGCTCCACAATGACATTCCTCATAATCTATTGCTTCCAGATGTTCCTCTTTATCCTCTAACTCCACATGTCTTTAGTTGTACTTGTTTTGTTCATGATCTCACTCCTGGTAAGGATAAGTTAACATCCAAAGCCTTTCAGTGTATCTTTCTTGGTTATTCTCGTCTTCAAAAGGGTTATCGTTGTTATTCTCCCGACCTTAAGCGTTACTTAGTTTCCGCTGATGTCACATTTCTTGATCAACAACCCTTTAATTCTATCCCATCTCAGATGTCACAGGTTGATCATGTCCTTCCTGTCCCTTTTCTTGACTTGTCTTTGCCAGCTGCAGGTGCTTCTATTCCAGATGAGCAACCTATTGCTTCTATACCTGAGGACCGTCCACTTCTCACCTATCAGCGTCGCAAAACTGTGCCTCCTGTCGACTCGACTCTTGCTGACTCATCGCCCACTGCTGTTGCTTCTTCCCCTCCGGATCCTTCATCAGAGACTCTTCCCATTGCTCAAAGAAAAGGTACACGTATTACTCGTAACCCTTATCCTCTTTATACCTTTTTGAGTTATGACCGTCTTTCTTCACCTCATTTCACCTTTGTTTCTAATCTTTCTTCTATTTCTATTCCTAAGACCACAGGTGAAGCACTTTCCCATCCAGGGTGGCGTCAAGCAATGCTTGATGAGATGACTGCACTTCATTCCAATGGCACTTGGGACCTTGTTTCTGCTCCTCCAGAGAAGTCTATAGTTGGTTGTCGCTGGGTTTTTACTGTGAAAGTTGGACCTGATGGCCATATTGATCGTCTCAAGGCACGTTTAGTTGCCAAGGGTTTTACTCAAATCTTTGGCCTTGATTATAGCGATACATTTTCTCCGGTCGCTAAGATGGCGTCAGTCCGCCTCTTTCTTGCCCTTGCTGCTGTTCGTCACTGGCCACTCCTTCAACTTGACATCAAAAATGCCTTTCTTCATGGTGATTTACAAGAAGAAGTTTACATGGAGCAACCACCTGGTTTTGTTGCTCAGGGGGAGTCTGGAAAGGTGTGTCGTCTTCAGAAATCCTTATATGGTCTCAAGCAGTCTCCTCGAGCATGGTTCAGTCGTTTCAGTTCTGCTGTTCAAGCGTTTGGCTTAATCCGCAGTAAAGTTGACCATTCTGTGTTTTATAGGATTACATCTCCTGATAAGTGTATCTATTTGTTAGTCTATGTTGACGACATCATTCTCACCGGAAGTGATCAAGACGGAATTCGTCAGTTAAAACAGCATTTGTTTAGTACATTTCAAACAAAAGACCTTGGGAAGCTGCGTTACTTCTTGGGAATTGAGGTGGCGCAGTCAAGACAGGGCATTTCTATCTGTCAAAGGAAATATGCCTTGGATATCCTAGAAGAAACTGGTATGTTGGGGAGTAAACCAGTTGATACACCTATGGATCCTAATGTCAAGTTATTACCCGGACAGGGGGAGCCGTTATCTGATCCTGGACGTTATCGGAGGCTAATTGGGAAGCTCAATTATCTTACTGTGACTAGGCCAGATATTTCTTTCGCTGTCAGTACGGCCAGTCAGTTCCTTGATTCCCCTTGTGATTCACATTGGGATGCTGCTGTGAGGATCCTCCGATACATCAAAGGAGCACCAGGAAAAGGTTTGTTGTATTCGGATCAGGGAAATACAGAAATTTGTGGTTACTCAGATGCCGATTGGGCAGGATCACCCTCGGACAGACGCTCTACTTCTGGTTATTGTGTCTTCTTCGGAGGAAACTTAATCTCATGGAAAAGCAAGAAACAACCTGTTGTTTCCCGTTCTAGTGCAGAAGCTGAGTATCGTGCAATGGCAAATACTACCTGTGAGTTGATCTGGTTAAAGCAGTTGATTCAGGAGCTTCATCTTTGTGAACAGAAACAACCCGTGACACTCATCTGTGATAATCAAGCTGCACTACATATATCCTCTAATCCTGTTTTTCATGAGAGGACCAAACATATAGAGATTGATTGTCACTTCATTCGGGAAAAGATTCAGTCAGGAGAAATCAAGACAGCTTTTGTCAACTCGTCTAATCAACTAGCAGATGTTTTCACTAAAGCTCTTAGAGGTCCTCGGGTTGAATACATTTGTAACAAGCTTGGTGCTCATAATATATACGTACCAGCTTGAGGGGGAGTGTTAGAATATTAGATATGATATGATTAGATTTGATTAGATATGATTGGATTCTGTCTTATCCGTAAATAGTCTGACTGTATTAGGATTAGGTTTGGATTAGGTTTGGGCCTTACACTTAAGCCCATTAGGGTCTCTATATATTGTAACTCCTTGACACAGATCAATACACAACATATTATTCTTCTATTATTTTATATTCAAGTAAAACCAACTTTAAATGCTAATTCTGGTGGTATTGCTAGTTCACCAAATTGGAAACAGTACAGTGTTGAGACAGATAGGAATGCAGGGGAGGCTCTTTGAAAATATACCTTGGGCATCAATATCTAGATTTCATATAGTCAGATCAATCTCTTCAATTGATTCTATCTAAAAAGTGCAGCATAAAATTGAACAAGCATGCATATTAATGTTTTTCTTCATTTTTAATTATATTAGACAGTTCAAAGCACATTAAGTTCGCATATTTGACGATACGAATAAAACTCTCCGACTAAAGTGTAGCAGTCTACCAGAGAACAATGGCAAGGCAAAAGATAACAAGCAAAAATTAAAATGCAAAATTCAAGGTGAATTATTTAAAAGGGAAACAGTCTACAATAGAGTATATCACAACTGAAAGAACTTAATTCGTACCGCAATTCTTTGTTGATTTAGACCACCTTCAGCATGGATGAATATATAGCCATTTGTTTCATTTTCAGGAGGAAGTTCTACAAGGAGGTGTAAAAGTACAATTATAATAGCAGTAGAATTAGAAACAGCATACAAGGCACTAATATGTACATATTCTAAAGTAACATATATGAGATGTGTAGGGAGTATTACATTAAGAAATAAAAAAAAATTCAGACCACTTTGTAAGTGTATATATATACAGAACTCCCTTGTTACAAGTTTCAAACTCAAGGATTTGGCAGAGGTTACTTTGTTTTTTTGGATAAAGAAGGGATAGGACTACAAAAAAGCTGAAGGATGCATTCGCTCCATTGACAAGAATTGCATTACAGTGATAACTAAAAAGTATCAACACGGATTGATTGAAATATCTGTCTTGAGATACTAATTACATAAACAGTTTGTTGATGCTACTAACAAATGCAAAATATGTTAAATTGTCACAACATGAAGATGTTCTTATTAGTTTATTTGATAATACCCCTTTTGGCATGGCTTGCAAAGCACAGATGAGATGGTAAATATACAAATATATTAAGGGACAGAAAAACTCAAGGAAACCTGATATAACACCATCCCGGCGCTCAGCACAAGGCTTCCAAGATGTCGTGGATGAAAAAGGATTTTCCCAAAGAGATGGCGATTCTTTAACCTAAAAATAATACCACACAGGCTATGTAAATGGGAAAAGAACACTACCGTACAATATGCAAGGAGGAAACAAATCACCAAAACGATGGTTCCTTTTGATAACTTACGTGTGGACATTGAAGAACAATCCCATCTTTTTTACACAAGTAAGGAGCATTCTACAACAAATTGAAGGCGAAATCAATTATGAGAACTTCTAAACAAGAAAAATAAGATATTAGACCGCATCAGCTGAACTTTTTCCTTTCTGTATAACAAAAACTGCATGCATTACTTGTGCAGCTACTGAATATTACCAAAATCAAAATAACAAATAATCTAGTTCACATATAGATTCCACAGTCATTCAATTTCAGATAACCAAACATAAGAAATTTTGTTTTCCACACTGAAAAGCGAAAGAAGCAGAAAATTAAGTGGAAATCTTAAAATGCAGATAGAGAGAGAGAGAGAGAGAGAGAGAGAGAGAGAACACTCACCAATTTATGGAGGATTGAGAATATGAAGACTAAACCAACGAGAAGAAGAAGTAAGGTGAAAAATAGAGAGATCCTGGAGTTAGGAGGAGGAACCCTAGGTTCATCGGTGAAGAAGGAGTATAGATACTGGAAATACGAGCAGAGATGACGGTCACGGTCCTTAGAAGAGTGGCGATCGTGCTCGTCGTCGTCGGGAAGGTGATTATCGGGAATGAGAGGGGAGGAATCTCCGTCGCGCTTCATCGGAGAAGAAGATGCTCGGCTGCCGAGTGAGGAGGTCGAGTGACGGAGCTCCGCCATGACCTGATTCGCGATGGAGCACTTTCTCTCTCTATCTCTCTCTCTCTATATATATATGTGTGTATATATATATATCTCACACACACACACACAGAGAGTTTACTAAGAGTAACTACCTACAACCGTAGAGAAGAAAGTAACGTTTTTCTTGTTGAGGGGGAGTCCCATGTGAATTCAGATCCACTCGTTTCTGCATTTCTATCATATTCTTTTCCACAACGGGGAAGGGACTCACTCTCTTGTCATGTAATTACGTTTATCTCCTGAGGCCTTGATGGTCATTCAACCAACCCACTCACACTCCTTACTCTTCCCTCGGCGTGGAGCTGGATTGGACAGCATCATTATTTACTATTTTAATTTTAAATAATTAATTCTAACCTCCACAATTATACGGGCAAAAAAATTAAAATAATGCATTTAAATTAAATAATTATGCATTTAATGCTGTTTTGTAAAAAATTACACATTTGTTGCACAATGAGACGCCCCCTTTGGGCATCTCATGTGCAACCTATATATACCCCACTTTCCTTTTTTCACTCCTTACTCATTTACCTCTCTAACCGCGGTTCGTAGCGAAGCTCTGCCAACGTAGGTAAGGTCATAATACCTCATATGTATACATTTAAATAATAGTGCTAGTTAGTAATACATGTTAGGATTGATTGTATATTAAAGACTTGGAACATTATGATAGTCACTTAGAAATTTTGTGGCATGCTATGAATGTTGTAATGATATAGTAATTTTATTATTACGTAGTTATTATTATTAATTTTTAATTATGCATTAGGGTTTATCATATTAATTAGTGATTTATAAATAGTGTTAGGGACTTCGTAAATTTCGTATGTATGATGTTATTAATGCGGGAGTGCATAACTTTGTAGTTAGTTAGGTGTGATGATTAGTACGTATTGGACAAGTTGGTAGTGACCTAGGTTAAGTATTCAGTTAGTATTATATTATTTTTGTCCGATGTATTATTATTATTTAATTGCAAATAAATAACTGTTCTACGTTTTGGCAGGACTTCATAAATTTCGATTCTAGTTAAATAAATGACGCATATGCTTAATTTTGTGATAATCAATTATGTCACTACTTAACTAAATTGTAAATAAAATAGGTTGTTACATGTGATTAATTTAAATGTTGTTTTATATTATATAGTTGAGGATAATGGCTGAGTCATCATCTTCATCGGGATCTGAGTCGGATGTAGAGCCCACCGATCCCAGCATGTGGATCATCCCTGGGTCGTACAAGTGGTAGGTCCTTCGAAAGAGGACGCAAAAAGCGCATATTTCACAGCGAGTGTGGAATACAGAGCATGTACGAAAAATTAAGACCAGACGTGGGAAGCCACAAGGGGGGCCACCTACCGGTGCTATTCCACCGATTGTCGAAGAGTACCTAAGACAGGCGGGATTCATACATGTTGCCAGGATGCAACATATCCATGTATGTTATTTAAGTCGTTTTGTATTTATGTAATTATTCAATAAAATTCGTTAACACGTGATAACTGCGTAATTTATCACAGATCGATACATTTTTAATTAGTGCTCTGGTCGAGAGGTGGAGACCAGAGACACATACCTTTCACATGACCCAAGGTGAGATGACGATCACCTTACAAGATGTGGCAGGCATATTGGGCTTGCCGACTGACGGCAATGTCGTCACCGGATGGACCTCCGAGGATTGGCACGCTGCTTGTGCTGCTGTTTTTGGACATGTTCCAGAGGCCGGTGAGTTCCATCATTTCGGCGACCTCCGCATCTCATTCTTGGATCGGCATTATACCCGGTGGACTGATCATGAGGGGAATCACGCTGCCGAGATCTACTTCACAAAAGCCCACATTGCCCGGATGTTGGGGACTTGGTTGCTGGCGGACAAGTCTGGAGGTAGCAATTTTGGTTGCCGGCTTGTCCCGTTGCTAGGTGGAGGATTTGAGGACATTGGCCGATTCAGCTAGGGATCTGCGGTTTTAACACACTTGTTCAGGAATTTGTGTGAATTGACAGATGTCCGTCGATCTGACATGGGTGGTTGTCATATTCTCCTTCAAATTTGGGCATAGATATGATTCCCACCCATTGCTCCACCTCTTCCTCCTCATCCAGAGCCGGGCACACATTATGGATGCCGGTATGATTTATTTACTTCATTTGATTTCGATAATGTATGGTTGATAATGTATATACTAATTGTATACTTTTTGATTATGATTGATAATGAATGTTTCTGATTGACAAGTTTAATACTGTAGAAAAGTTTAAACCTCATGAGGTCACCCATTATCGGGCAACATTGGACACACTCTGTAGAGATGAGGTTAGGTGTTGGATACTTACGATGTTGTTATTTCGCTATGGTTTTATTTTTTTTGTAACTCTATATATTGTTTCGCCTTTTTTTTGTAGGTGGTTTGGCAGCCATATATCGATTATGAGTGGCTTGACGTTACTATAAAGCAGCAGTACCTGTGGCTTGCTGCCACACCTATTATCTACTTCCACACAGTAGAGGTATGTCAACCGGATAGGTGCATGCGACAGTTCGGTCTTGATCAACCCATCCCGGATAAATCTAGAAAGTTGAGAAAAATACATGACCATACTCTACGGGGGAAGGTTGAAGAGAACTGGAGACGTAAGCTGAGGGCTCACATTGATCGATGGAATACCAGGATTCAGCATATTGTACTGCCACCTACATTATATGGTTTGATGTCACCTAGTCATGCGTACATGGAGTGGTTCAGAGAGAGGGGAAAGCGTTACATATCTTGGAGGGCAGCAAAGATAGGCCGCATGGTGAGTTTTGTACATATTTTACATTTGTTTCACATTTCTAACATGTTTTTGTAATATGCAGATTGACGGTCTTGAAATGTTTTATCATGCAATAACGGCGGAGGAGTTTCCTCGATTTGGCCTACAGTATATCCATGACGAGATTGGCCGGATTATTGGAATGTTTCGCGAGAGTTCACGAGTTGATGAGCCTGGACCTGAGGCATCCCCCGTGCAGACACAGCCTGATCCTCAGTTGATTGTGGATGTACCTCGTAATAGACGGGAGGGACACGGATTAGGACGTAGACGTGAGAGAGTTGCTATTGAGCCTGTCCCGATTATGGCACCGAGACTAGTGGTCGAGACTCAAGGATGGTTCAGACCTCCAGTCATTGGTCTTACTTACGGGTCACAGCCGATTTATCATCACGGGTCGCAGTTTGCGGCAGGTCCTAGTCAGGCGGCGTCTGAGCATCTTTACATGAGTGGACAGGAGCCAGTTTTCCAGGCGAGTCCGATGGCTATGGCAGGAGCGGATCCGGCATCCTCACAGCCTGATTTCCAGCCATATTCACAGGGACTTGATGCCGATTACCCCTTTTGGTCTACAGAGGACACGATTGAGTTGTATCGCTCAGTAGGCCTGGTTACAGAGAGTCATGACAGTGGGGAGACTCTAGCCACAGATTCTCACAGTCAGGGACACACCCCTTTTGATGTGGCAGGCAGTAGTGTAGGACCATCAGATGATTTCATCCGCGCGGCGATGGATGACTTCCACACTCCACCACCACAGGCACAGGTGCATCAGGGAGACTCAGTCTAGGACAGACAGATACTGCCAGATAGGGATGCACGACATAGGCCATGGCCACCGTGGTTGTAGTTTCATTGCCATTTGGAGTATTCACTATGTTGTGGACTGTTTCATATTGTTATTATTTTGTTATTTTGTATTAGTTATGATTGTAGCATGTTGTTATTTTGTGGACGCTACATTATTATATTATTTGGACTATTCACTATGCTTTATTATCTATGTTATGTTTGTCTTTCTTTGCGCATTTATGTTACGGTAACTAGTAGCATCAGTTACTTAATAATACAAGAATAAAAACATACATCAATCCCACGACTTGGACATCACCGACGATTATGGCCGCGTTCCTTGCAAAGTCCACACCTGATACGGCTCTGGCTTATCTCAACTTCATCCATCTCGTTGCGGATGCGAGTTGACTTTTGACGACCTTTTGCACGCAACATAGTAGAATCAGGAATAATCTTTGGACCACTAATTTCAGGTATTGCTTCCTCGTTTCCGATTGGCTCCCACGGAAAAGAATAAGCCTCGACCAAGTTAGTTATCAAAAAGACGTCGTCAACATAAGTGAACACACTCTGCCTAACACTTAACGCAGCAGCAACGGTGTGACTACACGGATACTTAAATGCCTTGAACTTTCCACACTGATAGAATCTCTGTGGGAGGTTGACAGAATATGAACGCTCCCAACCTGCGTCAACCTCGAAGACAGTATGTTCAACATTGTATGCACGAATGTGGTGGCCTGTTGCATCTACCTGGTTCTTCTTGACCAATTCAACAACAACTTTGGAGTGACGATGAGCTGATTGAAGTTGTGCAATAGCATTTGTTCCTCTCTCAACAAAATATGCAACCAATCTATTATATGTATGCTTAACCAATGTTGTTATAGGCATATTTCTGGCCCCCTTCAAAACCCTATTGACAGATTCAGCCAAATTTGTTGTCATATGACCGTACCTGTGTCCTTCAATATCGTAGGCGCGCGACCACTTTTCCTTAGGAATCACATCAATCCACTCAGCAATTTGAGGACTACTTTCACGGAAACTCGCAAGATTCCTTTCAAAATCAACCATTGCTGGAGTATAACCTGCACAAATTGGACATGAACGAATTAAACATAAATTCACAGTATAATGGAAAGAAATAATTATGCATCGTGTCAATGAGTATACCTAAATTCTTTAACATCCGCTTCAAATCTTCATTCCGAAACTTTTGATTGAAATTGCTTGCGATATGACGAATACAGAAGACGTGATATGCATTTGGCGGCTGCCAATTAGTGTTATTTT